TTTCGTTCTGTTGTGCATAGGGTCGCTATGAGTCGGTACCGACTCGATGGCACCTAACAACAACAATAACAAAGGGACTAAAATCCATGAATACCTTCCATTGTAGATCCTTTCATCTGACTTCCATTCAATTTCCTTGGCCTTCCCTGTCATGTTGCATATGTTCCCTTAGGCTGCTGGTGGCATTTATGTGCCATGGAGTTGGTTCTAACTCATAGCAACCCTAGACAGGATTTCTGAGGCTGTAAATCTTTATGGGAGCAAAAAGCCTCATCTTTCTCCCACAAGAAACAGTAATTTCCACCATATACGTGCTCTGTGGCCATACATTTTCATTGGTAGGAAAGTATAAACCATAGTTTTGAACCAGTTCATTCTGGTTTGACCCCCTACTGATAGTTTACCTTTCTACCCCAGATGCAAGGAATCAAAATCTGCATTTTAAGACCCTGAGAATCTTGTTAAAACTCTGGACTCGGGTTCCGTGTATGTGGAGGCTCTCAGTAGGGGTTGAATCTGAGTGAAGCTGGTATAAACTCGGCACAGTAGTTTAGAATCAGGCCTTTTGTTGTATTCTGTAATAAAGAACATATAAATGAGGAGAAAATGAGACTACAGTAGTAATTATAACTGAGTTTAAGTTACTCTCAGACGCTCAGTGGGTTAGAGAAAAGATGCTTCGACCTAAAGTCATGGCTCCTACTTTGTCTCGGCCTCACATAACCTTCCTTGAACGTTACATTTATCATCTGTAAAGTGAGTCTGATAATATGTCCCCTACCTATCTCACAGGGTTGTTGTGAGGATGAAATGAAATAATGTACATAAAGAGGACTTTTATATAAAATATGAAGTGCAGACAAAAATGAAAAAAGATTCACAGTCTCAGAAACCCTGTCCGGGATCACCATGAGTCAGAATCGACTCGAGGCTAGATTGGTCTGATTCTGGATCTTGCAGTTGGCAGCTGAGTACTTTAGCATGGGGCCACAGCTCCCAGCGTCCACATCACTGGCCCCAGTCCGTGTGCCTCTGTGTCTGCTGCCTGGACCACGAGTGTCCCAGTTAGGGGACCCACTCTCCTGGTTGTATACATGTGCGGCTACCTCCTAGGATATGACAAATGCCCAAATAGAAAAGGGTTGTAAAAATGAATCAGCAATAGACTTTGGTTCAGTTCATTGTGTAGTCAAGGTGTTTTCATTCCAAGAACCTGACTTTTTTTTTGCAAATGTTCATGAAAACTGACTTGACCAAGAGGTGGACTTTTGTAGCCTGATGAAACTTCTGGCCCCATGGGATTTCTACGCTGTGATCTACGGTTTTGTGAAAGGGTCCCATGGTGGTGCTGCAGGGTAAGCACTGGACTTCTAACTGCAAGGTCAGCGGTTCAAACCCACCAGCACTCCACAGGAGAGAGGAGGCTGGCTGCCCCCCGTGAACATGTATGCTCTCGGAAACCCCTCTGTCTTACAGGGTCACTGGGAGTCAGCATCGACTCCGTGGCTTGGTTTGGTTTAGGGTTAATGTCTGCAGGAGCAGATGGCCAGATCTTTCTCCTGGGGAGCCACTGGGTGGGTTTGAACTGTCAACCTTACAGTTAACAGCCAAATGCTTAACTGTTGGGCTTCAGGACTCCTTAGCAGGGGCGATGACGAGACTTGGTCTCACTCTAGACATGTTATCGGGAGGGATCAGTCCCTGGAGAAGCACATCATGCTGAGTAAAGTGGAGGGTCAGCCCCTCAACAAGATGGCGTAGTGGCTGCAATATGGACTCAAACACAGAATCGATTGTGAGGCTGGTGCAGATCCAGGCAGTGTTTCCTTCTGTTTTGCATAGGGTCACTGTGAGTCGGTACCAACTTTGCGGCAGTGTTTGCTTCTACTGTACGAAGGGGCTTCAGAAAGCTAGCAGGAAAATGGAATGAAAAGATAGTGGCATTTTTCCACACATGTTTTGAGCCCCCCCCCCCATATAATATATAATAAAGAACCCTGGTGGTGCAGTGGGTTAAACAACTTTGGGCTATGAATCACAAGGTCATCAGTTCAAACCCACCAGCCGCTCCATGGGAGAAAGACAAGAGTGTCTACCCCCATATGGATTTACAGTCCCAGAAACCCTATGGGGCCGCCGTGAATCAGAACCGACTAATAGCAATGGGTTTGGTTTTGTCTTTTCCTGAGTCAAGGCCACTAACAACAACAGCGAGACTTTTGGCTGCTTCTCATGGGTCAGCTGTGCTTAGTCCTCACGTTTGTCCATCGCCCCTGGCGGGATGGACTAGAGTGTTTTGAACTGCCCACCTGAGAACAACAGAGGCATGTCCACAAACAGGCAGGTCAGGGACCTAAAGGGGCCTCGGCCCTGAGAGACTACTGGCCCTTCTATGTCTCCATTTACTTTCAGCCCAATCCTGAAAAGCAGCCAGAGTTCATGTAAATGAGTGAACAGGAGGTAAATTAGGAACTACAAGGAGCAATGGTACTAGACATCCTAACCGTCTCTGAAATGTCAGCTCGTTGCTGTCAAACAGAAGACAAGGTCTCTCAGTTGTTACTGGGGATGCGGAGGTTGTTGTTACTTGGTCTCCACTTATATTTTTCCCCAGGAGTGACTGAGTGGTTTGAACCATTGACCTTGCCATACCAGGAGTTGGGGAAGACTCTTAATAGGACTATTGGGATTTAAAAACCACTGGAAAAAAACTCAGCAGTCATGCTTCCTATGGAAATTAACCAGCATCAAAACCAGTTGAAAATCAGTAGAAAGTAGTGTCCAAGTATTGTTTTAAGTTTTTTTTTTTAACGGTGTTTTATCAAGAGGCTCTGGTAGCATAGAGGTTACAAATTGGGCTGCTAACCTCAGGGTCAGCAGTTGGAAACTACCAGCTGTTCTGTAGGACCAAGATAAGGCTTTCTGCTCCCGTAAAGATTTACAGCCTCGGAAACCCTGTACAGGGTCGCTATGAGTCGGAACCGACTCCACAGCACACAACAACAACAATATAACACCAACAACAATATAACACCCTTGTTGTTGTTATGTGCCGTGGAGTCGGTTCCGACTCATAGCGACCCTGTACAGGGTTTCCGAGGCTGTAAATCTTTACAGGAGCAGAAAGCCTCATCTTTCTCCCCCGGAACAGCTAGTAGTTTCAAACTGCTGACCTTGAGGTTAGCAGCCTGATTCGTAACCACTACGCTACCAGAGCTCCTTAGGGTGTTATATTAGGTATTTAAATTATGCCAATTTTGAGACCTTAAAGATTCACGGAAAATTAAAGGCACTCCCCAAATACATATTGCCGATGTTGTGATTGAGTTGGTGGGAACTCTGGGGGGAGTTTATACCAAGCATGCAGAAATGGCCACATCAACTTCTCTCAGCTGTCAGCGCAGAGTCATCTCACTGAAAGTTAACGTGTTTGGGGAAGGTCCTTCCATCATTCTCCCATTCTGTTTCTCTTCATTCTGAAGCCCATGTTTTTAGTTAGGTTGGATTTTTAAATAAAATGGGGCTCAAATTCAGCAGTTGTTTTGTTTTCAGGGCCCCCCGACCCCTTGTGGCCAGGCCACCGCGCCCCCCCCCCTCCACCTCTGGCAGGGTCAGCCTAAAGTCCCAGCCTCCTCTCTGCCCCGCGTTCCTTCCCCTTCCTGGGCCTCTCTTGGCACCCCGCACCGATGCCCGCTGGGGAAGCCCCCTGGGAGCCCGGGCCCTGAATGCATCCCAAATCCCCCCAGCCCGCCGCTGCCGCCACCGACGGGCCCCAGGCGTCAGAAGCGGGGCACCGCCAAGGGGCACAGAACCCCCAGATGGCCGCGGACGTCCAGATGAGGTGGGGGGCTGGCAGCTGTACAAGGGAGCGCGCATCCTGACCCTCGGGCCGGCGCCACGGGGTTCTCGGGGCGCGCAGCGCACAGACGTTGGGTGGGGGTAGTTAGCGGCTGTTGGGGAAACGGGCTCTTGGAGCGGCCCCTTCGGAAGCCGGTGGTCGCGGGGGGCCGCAGTCTCCCTCCCCGGCCGGGGCGCGCTGGAGACCGGCGGAGATCACCGGAGGCGTCAGGTGAGAGGAGGCGTCAGGTGAGGGTTGCCATGGCGACGCCGCAGGGCGCACGCCGCTGCGGTTGGCATGGAAGCGGCCGCGCGGGGCCAGTCGCGAAGCCCATTGGCTGCCCCAACAGATGCGAGGGCTGAGCGCCCAGTGAGGCGGCCGGGTCTTTGGTCACCTGGGCGCCCGCCGCAGGGCCGGCTCCCTGCCCTCGCCAGGTGTGCCAGTGGGCTAAAGCTGAGGAGAGCGGGCCTGAGGACTTCAAGCAGGTTTGGGGACCTTCTGTGTGCTGTGAGAGGCGCGGGCAGCGTTCTGCTCTTCACTGCAGAGGAGACACCCCTGCCCGGGGTCCTGTGTCTGGGGGTCTTTGTCTGGGGCGAGAGCGATGAGCGTGGGAGCAGGGACACCCTGGGCTTGAGGGGTTCCACTCCAATCTACTGGGCCCAGCATCCCCGCTGACGGTGTGTGGCTCTCCTTCAAGCAGCCCTTGGCCAAGCAGCCTCTGGGAAGAAACCAGAGACCGGAAGGCACCCTGCTGGTTGGAAGCAGCTCTGAGCCCATGCGCAGTCGCAGCTCGAATGTTGTTGAGAGACATCTAGTGGATTCCCACTCAGCAACTCTCTAGGACAGAGTAGAAACTGCCCCAGAGGGTTTCCAAGGGAGCAGATGCCACATGGGATCTGGGAAACCCGGGTCTGATGCTGCCTGTCCCCTTCCTGCTCCAGGAAGCCAGGGGACCTAGGACTTGGCTAATGAGACCCTTCCCCACGCAGCAGCCTGTGCAGAGGAGACCATGAGGCGCAGCGGCTCCAAGAGCAGCGTTGTCCTGGCGCCCGTAGTCGGGACTCAGGATGACCGACAGATGGTCAGCAGGGCCCAGTTGGGCCAGGACCCTCCACAGAGGACCGTGCTGGGGGTGCTCACGGAGAACGGTCAGTTCCGGAGGGCCTGCGGCCAGGTAAGGAGGGCTCCGGGTGGGCACGCTGCTTTAGAGGCAGCTCCCCCAGACACAGGAGGAGCCTGATTCACAAAGACCCTTGTGTGCCGTAAACTGGCGTCTGGACCAGAGAGAAATTGACTTGCAAGAACATCTTGCTGGATCCAAATCTTTTTTGTCTTTTCTAAATATGGAGCAAGCAAGCCTGGAAGCGTTGGGTTTCAATATAGGAGGCCCCAGGGTTTGACTTCCGGCCTTCCTGCCCATAGTTAGGAACCAACTCACAGAAAGCCGGTATGTTGAAAATTCGAGGTACATACAAGAGTTCACAATAACAAACGGGCACTGTCACCTCAAAACAATATGATCGCTGTAGTTGGTTATGACTAGAAAGGCACACTGTATGTTAAAACAAACATTTGACTAACTGATGTTGGTGGTGGTTAAGTGCCGTCTAGTTGGTTCCGACTCATAGTGAACCTGTATAGGGTTTCCAAGGAATGGCTGGTGGGTTTGCACCACTGAACTTGCGGTTCAAATCAACCTTGTGGTACAGTGCTGACCCTACAGCGCCACACCAGGACTGAAGTTGACTCAAAACACCTGGCCGAGTTACACAGAAATCTGACAGGTATTGGAACGGAACCCAGGGTCTCTCTATACATCTACCCTAGGCACTGACACAAAAGGTGGAGCTTGGTGACACATCGCCTAAGAGCCAGGCTGCTCACAGACAGGTAGGTTGGTGAAGTCCAGCCAGCAGCTCCCGAGGAGAAAGACCTGCATTCTGCTTGTGTAAAGATTAGAGCCCAGAAAACCCCTCAGGGAAGACCATCTCTGTCATAGAGCCCAGCAGGGCCAGCATTGAAAGGCAAATGAATGCCCCTTGTTATTGCTGGGAACCATGGAATAGACTCCTAGTGCCCCCATGAGAAACAATGGGCCTGCCCCCTAGGGCTTCCTAGGCACCCACAGTGTGGGAGAAGGCCTCTGTCCTGCAGTCACTAGGTGAATTTGAATCACAGACTTTGGGGAGAGCAGCCAAGCATTTAACCATTTCACATTGGGGTTCATCCAGGTCTGAGTGGTGGTCAGACTGATGTGGGCGAGGCTTCTCAACCACAGATGGGTTGGTTCTGTTTACTGGGCTAGTGGTAGAACCAGGACAGACTCAGGCTGGGCTGGGCACTTCAGAAAGGGGCGTTGGAAGTGGGCAAAGAGGTACTGGTTAGAACTATCACCCTTCGCAGAATAAAGGCAGATTCCCATACCCACATCTGTGGAGCTTGGATCCTTAAGAATGGATTTTGAGAAAGTAAAAAGCCCTTTCTTATTGATGTCTTAAACCTGTGTTGTTCATCTTTAATGCTCACTCGAAGGCCCAAATGTCAGTGAAGCCACGGGACCAGGTACTCTTCCCATGTTAGGTGTTTCATGCATCGAGACCCCAAACGTCAGTAAAATCGCTGGGCCAGGTACTCTTCCCATGTTAGGTGTTTCATGCATCGAGACCCCAAACGTCAGTAAAATTGCTGGGCCAGGTACTCTTCCCAAGCCAGTAGCTGTTGGATCCTTATGTGTAACAAGGAAATTATGCTAGGACCTGAGCCATCTGGCACCATAGGAGGTGTGTTTAAGGCCATGTGTCAGTCACATGTTAAGATGAGAGACCTTGAGGTTTAAGAAAGGTCGAAACAAAAGCCACTTATGGCGGAGGCTAGTTTACAAGCCTGTCTACTGACTGCACCGCACCTGGCATTCTGGTGGTGCCTGGCTGTATGTGTGTGTCAAGCAGGGGCGGGGTGGGGAGGGATAACCAGAATGGTTTGTTTAAAGCTTTTGGAGAAAATGAAAGTAGTTTTCATAAGCTTAATTTAAGTAGCAATACTGACTTCTTTAAAGAGGCTTGGTAGCGTAGTGGTTACGAATCGGGCTGCTAACCTCAAGGTCGGCAGTTCGAAACTACCAGCCATTCTGTGGGAGAAAGATGAGGCTTTCTGCTCCTGTAAAGATTTACAGCCTCGAAAACCCTGTACAGGGTCACTGAGTCAGAGCTGATTCCACGGCACATAACGACCACCACCACCTTGTAAGTCTAAGGCCCAGTACTTACAAATTGGCAGCAATTGAACATACTAACTAGTCTCACCTTAAACTCATAACCGTAACCTCTTATCTGGAGTCCTATTGGCACTATAGGATGAGCACTGGACTGCTAACTACAAGGTCAGTGGTTCAAACCCACCAGCCACTCTTCAGAAAACCCTGTTCCTTATTTGTGCTCCATTCCTCCACAACTTTCTTAGAAATGTATGTCATATATTCTTTGTCATTTTTTAAAATAATTTCAAAAAAAAGTTGAGAAGAGAGACAGCAGAACATACACCAAGTCAACAGTTTCCACCGACATCATTGAGTGCAAGTTACAACAGTCTTCAAATTCTGTAGCCAGTCCATCCTCATTCTCAGAGCTGTTCCTCCCCCAGGAACATTTAATCACTGCCCCTAGCCTTCGCACCAAATCCTTCAACTTCTGCTTATAAATTTGGTCCTGGATCCAAAACACTAGTAGATGCTGACTCACAGCACCCCTGTGAGACAGAGAACTGCCCCAGAGGGTTTCCTAGGCTGTCATCTATTGTGTCACTATATACAAAGATGGAATACATAGAAATCAAATTGACTACATCTGTGGAAAGAAACGATGGAAAAGCTCCATATCGTCAGTGAAAACAAGGCTGGGGCAGACTGTGGAACAGATCATCAATTACTCATATGCAAATTCAAACGGAAGCTGAAGAAAATGAAAACAAGTCCACGAGAGCCAAAATATGCCCTTTAGTGTATCCCACCCGAATTTAGAGATCATCTGAATAACAGATTTGATACATTAAACACTAAAGACTGAAGACCAGAAGAGTTGTGGGATGATATCAAGAACATCATACATGAAGAAAGCAAAAAGTCATTAAGAAGACAAGAAAGAAGGAAAAGGTTAAAATGGATGTCAGGAGAGACACTGAAACTTGCTCTCCAGGATAGAGATGCTAAAGCAAATGGAAGAAATGAGGAGGTACAAGAGCCGAACAGAAAAATTCAAAGATCAGCTCGAGAAGATAAAGCCAAATATTACAACAAAATGTGCAAAGATCTGGAGTCAGAAAACCAAAAAGGAACAACACGCTCAGTATTTCTCAAGCTAGGGGAACTGAAGAAAAAATTCAAGTCTCAACTTTCATTATTGAAGGATTCTCTGGGCAAATTATTGAATGATGCAGAAAGCATCAAAAGAAGATGGAAGGAATATGCAGAGTCACTGCACCTAAAGGAAATGGTTGATGTTCAACCATTTAAAGAGGTCGCATATGATCAAGAGCCAATGATACTGAAGGAGGAAGTCCAAAGTGCATTGAAGGAATTGGCAAAGAATATGGCACCAGGGACTGATAGAATAAATATTGAAATCTTTCAAGAAAGTGAGG